GACTCGGCCTTTGATTGATTTTTTTATTCTTAAGTGCGTAAGTTACGTAATATATTGTCTACGTGCCTATTATACGTGTAATGTTCAACTCGTGTTTGTTCTCTTTTTTCATTTTGTCTCGGGTTCTTGGCGGTGTTTCTTGGGTTACCTTTATTGGAGAAGTAACATCTTTTGAGCTTATTTCCCCCATTTTATCAAAAAACCAAAAAAAATAAGAAAAATAAAAAACCAAAAATATTTTTACTTTTTATTCAACCCCCCCCCCCCCTTTTGTTTTATGTTTATAAGTTATATTATAAGTTCTTTGTTTATATAAGTTATATTTATAAGTTTTCATATTTATTTAGTTATAAGTTTTAGTTATAAGTTTTATACGTCATATGTGTAGTAGTTAGTTTGTTTTGTTTAGTGACAATGTGTGTGCATGCTTAAATGATTTCAAAAGTACAAACTTTCTCCGTGGGATCGACTCTTACTTGCTCTAGCTATAGTTTTTATTTGATTCTATTTTGGGGGTTAGCTAAGGATATTTTATAAATTTTTAATTTGTTTTGGACCTTACGACAAGTCCCCAACAAATTTTGGCGCCGTTGCCGGGGAAAGTTTTGTATGAAATCACTTTAGTATGCCATTGTGTTCTTTGTTTTTTTTTTGTTAGTAAGCATGTCGTAGTAGCCTCTTTTCTTGAGTTTTAATCTATTTTACATGCCTTTTAGTAGAATTGAGGACACGCATATGAGAGCAAACTGAAACCAACAACTTTGTTTGCATTTGTGCTTAACTTTGATTGTCAATGTGCTATTTTCTGAGATTCCGGTACCGTTTCTTGGAAAATCTGCATTTTGAGCATTATTTGATGTATTTTGCTTGCTGATTTAAAGCTGGGACATGCTATGCCTGCGGATTTTGGATAATCTTTGTGCTGTTTTTCTTAGAAAATCTGATCAATTCATGCATTTGAAAACCAGCCTTACAATAACTGTTTTAGCATGCTGATGGAGTGCATTTATGCATTAGAATTGGCCCTACATTTGAAAAATATGCACACAAACTGAAATAGAGCCTAAATTTCAATTTTTACAATCTGCTTTTTAAGCCTTAGGTGCAAATGTTTTGAAAAATCTGGTGTGAACTTGATGTTCTTTTAGAACAAAATCGCAGCATTTTATTGGTTTTGCATGCTACGGAGTATTTTAGAGTGATCCATATGCTTGAAATTTGAATTATCATTGCTCTATCTTGCTTAGAGACAATATTTTGAAGCTTATCATGAGGTTTCTATGCTGATTTTGATGCCTATTGTGCTGATTTTTTAGAAAAATATGATCTCAAGTGCAATTTGAAAGAAAAAATTTGCATTTTTATGTACAAACTGATTTTTATGTTCCATAGATGCTTATGCTCTTGATCCTTATATGCTCCGTGTTGCTCTCAAAGTGAAAAAAAAAATGCAGAAATCTATTTCAAGAAGACTTTGAAACCTATTTGTGCAACTTTAAATCTGATTTTTCCATTCTTATTGGAGCATAAAAATGCTATTCTTAGAGTTGAATTCAATTCTTGTTGCTTATCTTGTTTTTATTTTTTGGGATGTTTTAAAGAAACATATTTACTTTACTACTTCATGACTTAAGTGAATATGTATTGGCAAGTAGTAAGTTGTGTCTAGCCAAAGACGTTAAGTTGGGCGGCTTATGGGAGGCAACCCACCTTTTAAAGTTTTTTTTATCTTTCTAAAAAAATAAATTTTTTTTACTTATAACTTCTCGTTATTCTTGTACTTTTTTATAGTTATGATTGCATTTTTTTTCCTTTTTTCTATTTTTTTTAATTTCTTGTTGTTGTACTTAACTTTTTTTTTGTGGTTATTAATTTGATTTTATTTCTTTTAAGAACTAACTTTTCTTCCATATTGATGTAATAGTACTTGTTGTAATTATAGGATTAGTTTTTTCCTTTTTCTCTTTCATTTTATTTTTGAAAAACAAAAAAAACTGAAAAAAGTATGTTGCTTGAGTTTAAATGCTTTTTTACTTCATGTATGCTTCTAACCATTTATTTGAGTGAATATTCAAGATCTATCAAGTCATAGGTAGAAGCATGCCCTTTGGAGTAAAAATCTGCACAAACAGGTGTGAAATCTGATCCAAATCAGTAGCTCTAGCCTCCAACTGCCCGAGGTTTAAGCTTTAGTTTCCTTATCCTTTTTGTGTTCAAAGATTGGGTTCTGATATTACAACTTGCACAATGAGAAGTTTCACTATAAAGTCATACTTTTTTGCACAAGTGAATAGCCTATCCTTTAAGCTGAAAATTGAGACATATGCATTGTTTACAACTGATTTTCGGATACTAATGAAAAGTTCTGCATTTTGAAAAGTTATTTTTGGACTTGTAAGTTGATTTTTTGAGTGCAAAATGCAAATTTTACACTTTTTATAGCTTATAGGTGCTGAAATAGAAAAAAAAAAATCTGCAATCTTTTCTTGGTGTTCAATCTGATTTTTGATGTTAATAGATGCATATGAGCTGCTTTGCATGTGCATGACATAACTAACCTTCTCATATGCAACATTTTGTTTTGGAAAGTGCAAAAAGGCACAAGAATTTGTTCTCAAGAACTTGATTTGAAGCTTAAAATATACATTCCTTAAATCTGATTCTTTATCTCTTCAAAGCTAAAAGACTTGGTCTTAGTCATGTTTTGCATATTTTAGGTCCATCGAGCACTTTAAGGAGGGAAAAGTGATGAGTTGATGCTGCGTATACTTTGTTTTTTAGTTGCATTTCCCCTTCCCTTCTCTCTTTGCTAAGTCCGTGCTTGCTTAATATTGTCGTTTGCATACCATATAGATGCATCGAGGACTATGCACATTTTAAGTGTGGGGGGAGTTGCTCATGCTTGTGTCATTGCTTAAAAAAACTTTTGGGGCAAAATTTTTTCAAAAAAATAGGTTTTGGGTCCAAATATTTTTTATTCTTAGTTGCATATCTTCTTATTTAGAGCGTTGTTTTAAAAAAAAAGACCCAAAAACTTCATTTTCTTCTTTGTGCTTTGTTCTGAAAGATAACAAATGATTCTTTGCAAACTCTTCTTGAGTCTTATGCCCAGTTTCTGAATAAATGTGACCTTAAAGTTTGAATCCTTTTAGGTTTCTTTAGAATTTTGTTTTCTAGAACTTGTTCATCCACATATTATCTAGATGCTGTTCTTATTAACCTTGTGTGGTATTTAAAATCTAAAATGAACCGGTTTTAGGAATATATTTTTTTTTATAGAAATTTGTTCATTTTTTAGGCTTATTTTTTTAAATTTTGCTACCGTTGCCATTAAGCCGTTTTAAACCATAGGATTCCCTTAAGAAACTTTTTTGTGGCAACTTTAGAGCATTTCTTTTAGAACCCAAATAGTCCATTACTTAGTTCTATATTTTTATAGGATTTGTAGCTCACTTTGTTTTCAAAAATGTTTTGAGCATAAAGTCTTAAGTGTGGGGGTGTAAGGTGCAATTTGTTCTTCTTGATGATGATAAAAAGTTTGGTTTCTTTTTGGTCTTTTGAACGAGGACGTTCAACTCTTAAGCGTGGGGGTATTTGATAACTCGGGTTTGGTTTGGTTCTTTTTATTCAATTTTAGGCATTTTTAATATTTTTAGAGTTTAATTTTTAGTTGTTTAGCTTAGTTTTATTATAATTTTCATTTTTAAATTCTTTTTATTTTCTTTCATAAATAGTAGCTTTTTAACCATTTTTTACATTCTATTATTTTTATTTTATTTTTCCTAACCCAAGTTATCAGATATCTTAGTTTTTGGAGAAAAATATAGCAGAAGGCCAAAATGCAGTTCAAGTTTGAAAAGAAGTGAATGAGTTTGGGCTGCAGCCCAAACCCAATCATAAAAGAGATCAGCCCAGCACCCCTCTTTCCTCTTCAATTTCACGCACGACACAAGGAAAAGGAGTCTACGACTCCGTCGTCGTCAACGGAACGAGCGTAAACCGGCGAAGCATTCAACACTCCAACGTTCGGCTCCATCAATTTCGTGACAATCAATTGCCAACGGGAAGAAAAGCTTCGACTATAAATTGAGCACAGAATCACCATCGAGAAGGGGGGAAACACACGAGAATAAAGCAGCGGCCAAGCCGCTGCTACGGCGGGTTCCGGCGACATCTCGGCGGCGGTGGCGGACGGCCTGCAGACGCGAACCGGCGGCGGCAAAAGCTCCGGCGAGTGGTGGGCAGTCTTCTTCAAGCTCCAATTTCTTCAATTTCATCTTCTTCTTCAACAATTGGTAACCCTTATTTGTCAATTTATATTTTTTTCCTCCAATTCTATGTAAAAGTTTGTCTTTTATTCAATTATACATTTTTTGCTTGTTGTGTTTATTTCAAAAATTCTAAAAAAATGGTTGGTGTTCTTTTATGGGTATTTTCTTTAATGTGTATATTTAATCCCTTATGAATGAAGAATTGATTCAAACTAGTTTTTCTTCAATTATTGAGCAAGTTGTTGTTGAATTGGTTGAATTGTACAATTTGATTTCATAAGTAGGTTGTTATGTAGAATTCGGTTTTTGTTGAACCTATTTTAGCTCCATAAGGTAGTTAAATGAACTCCGAATTCATACGTGAATCCCTTTTGTGCTTGTGTTCGTTGATTTTAAGAATTTTGGACTTCTTAGCCCCATAAGATGATTCATTTTTCTTAGAATTCGTTATTGAGTGATTGTGTATTTTTTCCTGTGTTTGTTTGTTATTTTCATTGAGTTGAGGTTGTTTAAGCTCAAAAACAATTCTTGATTTATTGAAAATATGTTGTGTTCATCTAAGTGAATAGAAAAAACGTCATTGGTTTGAGAAGTTCATGGAAATCTGTGAAATGTGCTCATCATTAGGAGAAAAAGTTTATTAAAATGCATAAGGTATTGGCGGTTTGTGAATAGATTATGTATGAGAGTTGAATGCATAATAGATTCTCTCTTTTATAAACTTTTTCTATAGTGGAAGTATGTTTTCATGATTGAATAGAGAGTTGGGGTTCTAAGGTATATTTCAAAACGGGCCTTTGAATTGCATGACTCCGGGCCGTGTGGAGAGTTGACAATCCTCCATATCGTGGTTAAGGAAATGAATCGACTCGGCCTTTGATTGATTTTTTTATTCTTAAGTGCGTAAGTTACGTAATATATTGTCTACGTGCCTATTATACGTGTAATGTTCAACTCGTGTTTGTTCTCTTTTTTCATTTTGTCTCGGGTTCTTGGCGGTGCTTCTTGGGTTACCTTTATTGGAGAAGTAACATCTTTTGAGCTTACTTCCCCCATTTTATCAAAAAACCAAAAAAAATAAGAAAAATAAAAAACCAAAAATATATTTACTTTTTATTCAACCCCCCCCCTTTGTTTTATGTTTATTAGTTATATTATAAGTTCTTTGTTTATATAAGTTATTTTTATAAGTTTTCATATTTATTTAGTTATAAGTTTTATACGTCATATGTGTAGTAGTTAGTTTGTTTTGTTTAGTGACAATGTGTGTGCATGCTTAAATGATTTCAAAAGTACAAACTTTCTCCGTGGGATCGACTCTTACTTGCCCTAGCTATAGTTTTTATTTGATTCTATTTTGGGGGTTAGCTAAGGATATTTTATAAATGTTTAATTTGTTTTGGACCTTACGACAAGTCCCCAACAGTCTCCCCCAATATTCAATGTAATTTTTCTTTTTAAAAATATTGTCAAAACCGAGTTCTTGAGATTTCCAATAAAATTGTGATTATTCTTTAAGCGTTTTGATGCCTGAAGACTTAATCAAATTCGTGATATGGAAATTGGATATCTTGATCGGAAATGTCAGAGACAAGTAAGGATTTCTCAAGCAAATGAAAATCCTCTAATCCGGAAGACTATTTGAGAACCGGATGTCTCGCTACAACCCGCTGTAGGCTAAGTCGGAAGACTAGCGCGGATCTCTTTCTCACCCGGAAGACTCAGAATGACCCCTCCGGATTTGTCAGCTAAGAATCGGAAGACTCATTGAAGACCGGAATTCTCAAAAAGCGGACAAGTGAGAAAAAGACTTGGAAAATTATCTAAGTCTTGAATGAAGAAATTCTACCCGTTGGTAAGGAAAAATCAATCTCTTGATTTTCAACGGCTAGATTGAAAATAATTATGCTGATTCAAGAACAAATAGCTCGAAGACAAAGTCTGGACCTCTAAAATTGAAGAGCCTGTCCAGAATTCCTAAACATGCACTAGAAGACAAACAGAGTAAAGTGCTATAGTTCAGAATTCTTGAACAACAGCTAGAAGACGGATTTTGTGGAAAGTGGAATCATTTCTCAAACAATTGGGTACGTCCAAACACCCACTGCAACGAAGAATCTTCAAATCACAATCTTCATTCAAAATTGAAGCCAGCAAATGCAACGGATAGTCTATTATGATTCAACGGATAGATTATCCAATCCAGCTATAAATAGCGTCCTTGGAAGACTGGAGGAAGTATGAATCAGTAGAAATATTTGAACGAAGCAATCTCTAACAACAAAGCAATCTCATTCACAGTTAGTCCAAAAAGCTTGATAAAGAGAGATTTCTCAACTCCTTATCCAGAAGCAAACTTCTCTTCCTTCCAAAGAGCTATAGTGTAAACACTTGAAGGTTTCCTTGCCTCAAGTACCACACCACGTTGAAGGATACAACTTTTTGATCAAACTTCTTGATTAAAAAGGGGGTAGGTCAACTTTCTTACAAGTTGGTCTTGCAAGTCCTATTGTTCGGATCTTGCAGTTGTTGAAGAAGCGTGACCTTCGAAGGAACAACAAAGCCAGCACGAGTGCAGTAGCAACATTAGTCTTGCGAAGATATACCGTGTTGAAATTCACACAAGTGTAATTGTTGGTTCATTATTCAACAACCAACTACATAGTGGATTTTTAGGACGTAGAAGGATTACCCCACCTTCGAACCTCGTTAAAGTTTGCGTGTCTCTCTCTCTTATCTTTACTCTTACTTGTAATTATATTAACTGTGAAAACTAACCCATCCATATTGATTACTGCTCACTCTACCCACCAAATTCCGCGCACAATCTAAAGTTCACAAGAACTCTAGATTAACACTCATTTTCACGTTTTCAAAAAGAAACGAAAAAGTTTTAAAATTTGTAACAAAGTCTATTCACCCCCACCCCCCCTCTAGACTTTGTATCTCACCACTTTGGGACCACCAATTGGTATCAGAGCTAACTTCTCACTATCTACGTTTAGATTAACGAGAAGCGATCATAATGGTGAACAATATGGATCACGGTTTGCCCAAGTTTTCTCTTCTAGGTTATGATGATTGGAAGATGATGATGGAAGCACATCTCTATGCTCTACATGATTGCATGTGGATGGTGCTTGAGGATGGACCGTTGAAAATCCAAATGGAGAATCCTGAGAGAAATCCAGCAACTCCAGATGTAGTCCAGTACATTCCAAAGCCCAAAGAGAAATGAGATGATAGAGATTGCAAAAAGCACAATCTGGACAACGTCGCCAAAGCAGCCATCTTCAAGACACTTGATCCCATCACCTTCTCTAAAATCAAGCATCTCAAGACTGCTATGGAGATATGGCAATGTAACGACCCGAAAACCGGATTAGTAGTTAGCCGTTATTTTAATAAAAATAAATATAATATTTATTTACTCTAAAATATGAATTATTTGTAAAGTTATCCGTTTTAAATGAAAATTGGGTTTTCAGGTAGATCTCGTAAAATGGTGACCAACGATATATAATTTGTTAAATTTGGACATATGTATAAAGCGTGGTGAGTAAAATAGACATTACAGTTCAATAAGTAAATATAAAGATTTTAATAATAAAATAATAATTAACCTAATCCTACCCACACCCGTAAACCCATTCCCCTGAATATATACCGTAGTATATATATATATATATATATATATACATATATATATATATATATATATATATATATATATATATATATATATATATATATATATATATAAGCCCTAACCTACACACACGCACAGAAGAAAGGAAGAAAAGAAAAGAACGAGAAGGAGGCCAGACGCAAGAAGGAGACCGCGCTGAGATTTGGCGCTGCTACTTCGCCGCTTGTTCGCCGGAAGCTATTCGCCCACTTGCAGTTTTGTTAAATTCGTCCGAGTAATCGAGGTCAGAACTTGCACATCTAACGCCAGATTATGTAGATGAATTTGAAATTCACGTTCGTAGTTTCGTATGATTGATTACGTGGTTTATTTATTTATAATTGAATTATGATTTATTCATATTTTATGATGATATTGGAATTGATTGAACGAGAAAGACGAGGTACGTATTCCTACTCTAAAGTGTGTGATTTGCATGATAATAATCTTTAAAAACGTTGTACATATTGTAAGGTTTGGAATTGGATCGAAATCTGTCATTCCGGTGACTTCCCGACGTCAGACGGTAGCTAGGTACCGCCTAGCGGTACCGTGCTACCGCCACTGAAGGTT